CTATTCCAGTGAATAATGCCGAGGCGACGAACGAGCTCAGGCTGGGCGACGAGTCGCTCGACGAGCGCAATGACGCGGAAATCTTTCGGGCGGTGGTCCAGTCGATGAACGAATGGGAGTCGAAGAAGAACAAGGGGGGGCATAGGAACAAGCGCGAGGTCTCGAGGGTCTGCTACGAGGATGTTAGCTGTTTCGAGGACACGGGGCCGTTCAGTTATCTCGAGATGCTACCTTCACCGCCCAAGGACGTTGGTACGAGGTAGGTAACGAGCGAGTATAAGAGTATAACGAACCTTTATCGATATTATAACGAAACATCATGGCCGTAATGATGCTACCGCATCTTGTCAGCAGCCTTCCAAGCTTGTTATTAATTTCAATTATCGAAATTAATGAATCAACAACATGGGTATGAAAAAAAAAAAAAAAAAAAAAAAAAAATTGCCAAGCAAAATAAGCAGGATAGCCGCGTTTCGTTTCTGCTTATATCGCATATCGTTACACGAGCGTTAATGAGTTCGAGTTTGATAGAAAGCCCAGTTTGAACATTAAATTGCAATCGACATTTTAAATAAGCGATGCAAATTCAATTTCAAAATGCCGTCTCTGTCCTAAGAGCTGATAAAATTATAAAACAAATATACAACGAAAGGATAAATATAAATAACACTGTGTAAGCTGGACATTCAGAATGATGAAATTAAATACGATTGACTCTTCGGTATGCAATGCATTAAGACGATGTAAAGTTTGCAATAGTGTTGAATGTATATCTGTATTGATTTTTTGTTTGCTTATTTGCTTGTTTGTTTGTTGATTGGTTTTTTTGTCTTGTTTTTTTTGTTTTTTTTTTTTGTTGTGTTTTTTTGTTTTGTTTTTATAATCGCAAATAAGCCTACTATATACCTGATGTGATTCCAATTTTCTTAGTCGTACACGGTGCCTTATAAGAATCAATAAAGTATATTATATTAATGTGTAATAATATATTAATGTATAATAATATAATATTAATATTAATATTATTATATTATTATATTATTATATTATATTATATTATATTAAAGTGTTATTTGTTCGAAATTAACTTTCTCTACTGACCCGATGCATGAACATTTAATTCTCTTACGATAAAATAAAGCTATATTTAATGATACGTGTTTCATTATTTATATTAATAGTTAATAACATCGCACGCAACCAACTGCCAAGAAGCAGAGCAATATCATTGGCGTTTTTTTTTTGTGGGTATGAGTATGTGTGCGTGTGCGTGCGTGCGTGCGTGTGTTGAAAACCTAGCTATTTATATCTTCTATATAATAACTAAATGTATATAAAAACATTAATAAATTCTCCGATCTTTAGTGAAGATCCAATAAGATTTTTAAGCAATTAAATCATTTGTATGTATATGAAAATTGCCTTCTTGCCACGAAATAATCTGCCATTAACATTAGCTCATAAATTTGCTCGAGCATATTTTGAATAAATTGGCATGTTAAGCACGTGACACTAATGCTAGCATTATTAAGATAGAGGTTTTTCCGTAAAAGGACACATACATCATTCTGACTTATTCGAACCTATAAATATACTACAATAGTCGATAGATAAAGACAAATCATCATTATCTTTAAGCATGATAGATATCTACTTTTCATCTCATATCCTCAATTCACAATTATAAACGCATAGTTTTTACTGTGACTTGGGGCAATGTAACATACATCGCGTACGTAGGGATGCAAATTTATGAGCGTGTATTGCGCGGAGCAATGTGAAATATCGGAACAAGTAACTCTGCACCTTGGTTGTATTATTTCACTGAGTGCAAATCTATTCTTAGATTCTTCGTATATGGCAATGGAAAGGCGCGCTCGATCCCGATGGAAGTACCAGCCGAGAACATCAGCGAAAACATCAACAATGCCATAGATTCTGATCTACCGACCAAAGTTATCGTTCACGGCTTCGGCTCAAGTTGTGACCACATTTGGATATATGAAATGCGCTCGGCTCTTGCGGCTGTGATCGAATGCAACATAGGTGACTTTTACCCCTCAATCGGGCACATCCAACAATTTATTCATTTAATATGTTTACTAACATTTTTCTAACGAAGTTTTAAGACCATAAGAAAAGAGTGGCGTTTATTACGATCCATCGATATAATGTGTCTTAATGCACATCAGTAGAGTGAGATGAGAAATCAAATAATAACAAATGCATCATTATCTCGATAAATCTAAAGATTTTCTAAATTTCCATCAAGATGCTCCATGTCCATAATAAAACAAAAATAAAATGGTGTCCAAACAGAGTTCTTTTTCTTCATATATATATATATATATATATATATATATATATATATATATATATATATATATATTTTTTTTTTCTTTCTTTCTT